GAATGGAAACACGAATGACAAGCTAACCGGCTAAAGAAAGCTAACGCGCTGCACTCGCGCTGCATTCGCTGTTTTAGAATAAAAGCGAACGATCAAATGAATCAGATTAGTTTTATAGATAATATCAGAAATATGGTGGGAATTATATGGTTATATTTTATCACTTTAAACAACAGAGAGTGATAGTAAGATAGAGATTCAACAGAAAAGCAAAGCTACACGGAGCTACAATCACAAACCACTCAGCAGCACGGTACACAGGAAACATATAACCAGGGCCTAAAATTAACACTCGCCAAGCACCAAATGCGAGTAAAAATCAGTGTTGGCGAGTATATGTAACAGTGTCAGTCACCAGTTGGCGGGTAAAACTTTTACTAAATAAAACAATGCAATGTAGTGAGAACAACAGCCGGTTTTTAAAGATATTTGCGGTTTCTGATGCAAGCTAATAAGATTCTCTTTTCCGAAGACAGGGTCCTCGTGATTAGCTGTTCTGTCAAAAGCGACAAGAGCGAATCAAATAATAGGATACAAACGGGCTGATAAGGTCAGAGCAGTGTGATGGCCCGCTTGTCCCTAGACACGGTTCTAATAACTTTTACCTGAGAAGATATTGCTGCTTCATTTCGGAAGATTAACTTTTCTCTTCTTTATTCTTCATAACCCGAGAATGTGGTGAGACATACCTGTGGTTACGCCGCAGAAACAGTGCAGAGAAGTAGGCTATGAGGTTGCTCGTTCGGCTGTACAAGACGCTGAGCCGCTTTAGACAGCGCACCAGTAGCGCTTCAACGGACGAAAACACACACAATTATGTCTAAATAGGCGAGTTATTTCGTAAACGTAGTCTCAAATGAGTTATAAAGTCATAGATCAAATATGAAATAATATAAAAATGTGATTAATCATGATTAACTAAAGAAAAATGTGTGATTCATATTCATATCGATTGAAAGACAGCAATGTTAACCTTTTATAGATTTTAGATTTCAATTTAATTTCTAATTTTATAGGTCCCCCCAGAAAGAGATTGGTACGGCCCCATTCAAATTTTCAGTTCGATAATCAGGCCCTCAAATGAAGCTAATTGAGTAGCACTGCTCTAATCCGTTAACATGGGTGCGGAAAAATATGCACCACACACACACACTGCAAACTGAGTATGTGTGAAACAGGTGTAACACGATGGCCTGCTCCGATTGCCGAAAACATGCAAAGGACAAGAATCCCAACGTTTTTTAGGGACAAAAAAAGATAAATCAATAAATCTGTTTGTTGTTTTTTTTCTTGTAAGTAAAGTAAAGGACAAATTAAAAACATTGTAAATATTTTTATTTATTGTAGTAGTAATAACTGCTTGTTTTTGCAAAAAGAGTTTCATGGCGGTCCCCCCAGAAAGAGATTGGTACGGCCCCATTCAAATTTTCAGTTCGATAATCAGGCCCTCAAATGAAGCTAATTGAGTAGCACTGCTCTAATCCGTTAACATGGGTGCGGAAAAATATGCACCACACACACACACACTGCAAACTGAGTATGTGTGAAACAGGTGTAACACGATGGCCTGCTCCGATTGCCGAAAACATGCAAAGAACAAGAATCCCAACGTTTTTTAGGGACAAAAAAAGATAAATCAATAAATCTGTTTGTTGTTTTTTTTCTTGTAAGTAAAGTAAAGGACAAATTAAAAACATTGTAAATATGTTTAGTCATTGTAGTAGTAATGACTGCCTGTTTTTGCAAAAATATAACCATTAGGCAGTAATATCAGCTGGGTAACACTTTACGTGTGTGCGCGTGTGTGTGTCCGTGTGTGTGCGTGTGTGTGTGTGTGTGTGTGTCCGTGAGCGTGTGTGTGTGCGTGCGCGAGTGTGTGTGCGTTCGAGTGCGAGTGCGAGTGCTTGTGCGTGTGTGTGTTCAGACAAGTGACATTTATGAATATAATTTACAGTTCAACTGAAAACCGAGCTACTTGCATGATTGTTTTTACATACAGTATCACCAAATCATTATCATACCAAACACATAATTACAAGAAAAAAAAATATGATATACAAATAATAGTAAGATGGAATTAAAGAAATTTTTTTTCATAATTTATATTATACATTTATATTATATATCTGTCTATTTTAATATTCTATACACATAAATTTTTATCTTGTTTTTTTCATTTCTTAATTTAATTTAAAATAATATTTTTATAGTTCTTCGGTATCACCAAATCATTATCATACCAAACACATAATTACAAGAAAAAAAAATATGATATACAAATAATAGTAAGATGGAATTAAAGAAATTTTTTTTCATAATTTATATTATACATTTATATTATATATCTGTCTATTTTAATATTCTATACACATACATTTTTATCTTGTTTTTTTCATTCCTTAATTTAATTTAAAATAATATTTTTATAGTTCTTTGTTATATTGTATGTTTCCTTTTTCTTGTGATTACTTGTTTTGTGTAATAATGCTTTGGCAATATTGCATGTCAATAAAGTGCTTTAAATGAAAATTGAACTGAACTAACTACCAAGAAAATGAATTAAAAGACAGGAAAAGAAAATGCGAAAAGAAAATATATAACATATAGGGTAAATTAGACATAACAAGACATTATGAAATAAAAAACTTGTAGTTTTAATGCTGATCAAGGCATATAAAATGAGGTTTAAAAGGCAATTAATATTCAGTAATATTATACTGTATATATTTAATGCACTGACACTGTTAGAACAAAATCTGATCTGAGTTGCATATTCAGAGCCGATCCTCACTATACACAAAGTACGCAGGTTGTGTAGGACCCCTGAAACACCAGGGGGCCCCCTTGCTCTCAAATAGTGTTTAATTTCAGTTGTGTTTTTGGCCAGCGGTTATGAAAACATGAATGCTCCTTTCCTTAATGCGCTTTTAAGCTGTTCCTGTTGCCCTTTCTACGTAACATCCAAATCAGTCACATCATGTAACGTGTCATATACAGTCTCCTGCTGGCCTTGCTTGATACTTAAAAAAAGAGTTCAAATCACAGCGCTTTCCATTTGCACGATACGAGATGGACACATATAGGCTACTTTGCGCACTGTATATGTCAAAATATCCATCTAGGTGAGTTTTCACTAAACAAAGTCAGTTATGTCTTTAGTGAAAATAAACAGTTTGAAAAGTAATGGAATGCTAGTCAGTATCTGTGCATCCTACTGTATAAACCTGCTGCTGTCTGTCATCATCTGTTAATCAACAAAAGAAAATGAGAGAATTATTCACTGCTCTTCACTGAATATTGTTCATAACTTTGTTATGAATCAATTTATTTATATAAATTTATATGCAGTGCTTTATTTTCACATTTGATTAATTTAATCAGTTTCTGTATAGTAGGCGATTATAGGCTAAATTGTTTAATTAATGAACGCACAGACAGAACCCCCTCGGCAAAGTTTTGCTTAGGGCCCCCAGAAGTCTAGGATCGGCACTGTGCATAATCAATGAATTTTGCAACATTAACACTGTTATTTTCCTGTTTATTACTGATGATGTATTTTAACAGTGATTAATTGAGTGTGATTGTACAGATGTTGAATTGATTGAGAGAACATGTAGCTTTAACCTGTTTCTCCTCAGGTGCGATCCTGGGCTTCATGCTGGGTGTCTTCCAGATCCCGCTGAAGGACTGTGAGGATCTCTACAGGACGCTGAGCTCAGACGTCTTCAAGCAGAACCTGATCGTGGGAACGGTGAAGATGAGCTGGAGTCACGCTTTCTACGACAGCCAGATCTGGGAGAAAGTGCTGAAGTGAGTGTCAGAAAGCTGCAGGGATGTCTACTGTCTCCTGAAAGCTCCCTGTACTGAACCTCTCAACCTCCACACAGGGAGAAGATGGGCTCGGACCTGCTGATCCAGACGGCTCGCAACCCCGACTGTCCCAAAGTACGAAGTCAGCCGGGTTCAAACTGGGGAAACGCTAGGAGAAAAACTGTGTGGAAAAATAAATCAGTAATGAGAAACAATACATAATTAAAGAAAAATGGAAAAACTGTGTTGGCAACAAAAAATAAACATCTTTAAAATAAATAAATAAATAAAAATTTGGTTAAAATAAATAAACATCTGTCCTTTATTGCAGGGGTTTTCAAACTGGGGTCCGGGAAAAAGTTTAGAGAAAACTGTGATAAAAATTTAAAACATAAATAAATAATAAAAATGATTAAAGATCGAAATACATAAACATTTTGATTAACATAAATAAAAATATTAGATTAATAATAAATATTTTAACAGTAGTGTGAATGGAAAAAGAAGCATCATAATACAAGTTATTATAGTTACATAACTAAATATATAACCAATTAATACATAACTAAAACTATAAAACACATTTTTGTTATTTGAATAAAATAAATTAAAATGAAACGAAATAAAAATATATATGTACAAATGAAAACATAATGTAAAATAAGAATATAATATATAATGTAAATCTGAAAAATAAAATTAATATAAAATATATATTTTATAATTTTCATTTTATATTTCTCTTATTTTATTTAAGCTAGTTGCCAAGGCAATATTTATTATTTTCAACTTGATGTACTAAAATAGCTAAAAACTAAAATTGAAATTTAAAAAAAATACTCAAACTTTAAATAAAATTTAGTTGAAAATGGAAAATATATTTTAAAAAATCTAATCTAATGGTGTCAGCGATACTAAAATAACTGAATATAATGTAATATAAACTAAATACTTTCCACATAATATTTTCCACATATGTGTAATATGAATAGTTTTCTGGCTCTGTTGATGTTGGGATGCTGGTGTTTGGGCTCTGCGGAGCAGCCCTGCTGTGATCAGTGCAGTGCTGTGTTTGTCCAGCAGGTGGCGGCTGTGAGCACAGTGGTGAACCGCGCTCCTCCGGTGAAGGCCTTCGTCTTCAGGAACTACAGCCTGCCGGTGGGGGTGCGGTCGCATTACCGCGGCTCCTGCAGACACCGGCTGTGGGAGGCCATCCGAGCCTCGTCTGCGGCGCCGGGATACTTCCAGGAGTTCGCTCTGGGAGACGACCTGCACCAGGTACGACCGATCCTGACGACGCACAGCCAAACCACACAGAGCCGCGTCCCGCCACGGCAAACGATCATGAACTATACAGCAGCAGAGACTCTAATGAAGCTTCACACGGCCAGTGAGAAAAACAGTGCTAGCAATGAAAATAAAACGCATACATACACAAATAAAAACTGTCATTGAAATTGATAATGAAAATAGATGAACGTAAATAAAAGATAGAAAATACAATAAATAATAAAGGTGACACTTTACAATCCATTAGTTTATGTTAGTTCATGTGTTAACTAACATTAAAAAACAATGAACAATACATTTATTACAGTATTACTTTTACTTTTTTACTTTTAGTCATTTAGCAGACGCTTTTATCCAAAGCGACTTACAAATAAGAAAAAGTAATTAAAACTAAAAGCTAAAACTCTATAAATACTATATATATACACACATTTAAGAAAATAAAAGAAATTAAATAAAAATGACAAATGCATACAACAATATTTCAAAACTAAACATTTAAATGAAAACAAAAATAAAGCTAAAAACAATTCAAAAATATTAAAAGAACAAAAGGTATGAGTATAATAATGATTCTAACATAACACTAAGCCAAACAACTACATATATTAATATACATGTATTAATCTTTGTTAATGTTAGTTAATGAAAATTGTGAATGTTCATTCACAGTGCATTAACTAATGTTAACAAGCACAATTTTGATTTTAATAATGCATTAGTAAATGTTGAAATTAACATGAACTATGATTAATAAATGATGTAGCAGTGTTGTTCATTCTTAGTTCATGTTAACTAAAGTAGTTAACTAATGTTAACTAATGAACCTTATTGTAAAGTGTAACCATAATAATAAACAATAGGCACATATATTATTTTATGTAACTGAGTGAAAAAAAAATCCTTTCACTCATTCATTCCTTTTGCCATTAATTGTAATAATGCAGTGAGATTTCTGTATGAATAACGGCCAGTGCTGCACACAGAGATCTGATCTGATCATCATCCAGTCCGTCTGCGATTACATGAAGAAACAGAACAAACTGAGACAGAATAAATCCAGAAGAACTGTGCCAACGTCTCCAAGACGCTTCAAGAAACCTAGACTTTTGCACAGTACTGTGTGTGTGCATATATATATATATACATTTACATTAGGGCTGCACGATAAATCGCATGCGATATTTAACGCGCATCTTGTCTGTCTGTATAATAATAAATAAATGACAAAGTATATATTTTCATCTCATTTATTTGATTGGGTTCTCTTTGTGAACTTTCGGGACTTGCATGAAAATCTGATTATTTTTTTGGGTCATATCTATGCAGAAATATAGACAATTCTAAAGGGTTCACAACCTTTCAAGCAGCACTGTATATATATATATACAGCAATAGAAAAAAAATTAAAAGACCACTTGAAAAGACCACTGTAATTTTTTTTTGGCAGAAAATAACAATTGGTCAAAATAACAAATGTGATTGAAAATCAGGGTTATTCCACTAAATATTGATTTCTTAAAGGGATAGTTCACCCAAAAATTAAATTTACCCCATAATTTCCTCACCCTCAAGCCGGCTCCGGGGGTTGAATAAAGGCCTCCTGAAGCGAATCGATGCGTTTTTGTCAGAAACATATCCATATTTAAAACTCTATAAACCGTAATCTCTAGCTTCCACTAACTGTCGTACGCGCGTTCATGAGAGAGTGGCGTCCAGCGGATGATGTAGAATGCAGGTGTAGCGTTAGCTCCAATGAGAATATGCTAGTCTCGCGAGAATCAACGTTTGTTAACAGGAGCAAAGGAAGCAAAGTTTCTTTACTTTTGATGTATGGATGAGCTTTTTGGACTTCTTTTGAACTGTTGAATAATAACACCCACTCACTGCCATAATAAAGCTTGGAAGAGCCGAGATGTTTTTTAATATAACTCTGATTGGATTCGTCTGAAAGAAGAAAGTCATTTACACCTAGAATGGCTTTCACACACTCATACGCACGTTTGTTTCTGTG